CTCCTGACGCACATGAAATTATTGCCGTTGCCCCCAGTACCGACGGCTCTCTCTTCGAGCGCCAACATTGTCAGCCGTCAAATCTATTCTGGAATGTTATCAACTAGATTGATTTATAGTGGTTGCTTCATCTCTGAGTAAGTGCCTTTATGTACTGTACATCTTATGACTCTGCCCCAGACAATGGGGCTTTGTGACCTGGGATATAGTTTCAAAGTTATTATGCATATTCTCTCTTCACTTCTCCTGCCCCACCCCAACCACGACTGTCATCGGTTTAAAATATTGCCTCTTTCATTCGCTCCTTCTCACGATTGTTTTCTTTACTACGTCAATGCTTCACCTTGGCATCATCTTTTACGGGAGAAATTAAGTAAAACTTGTAAGTTCACATAGTTGGTATAATATATATATTTTTTTAAAAATCTTACATTTAATACAGTGTCTTTCATGTCAGGAGGATGTTTCAAAGCATTTCACACAATAGTGTAAAGGGTAGTGACTGTTTTAGGTAAGCAATATATTTTTGTATGATCCATAAAATCCTTCAGTTATAATCCTTGCATTTTACGTAGTGCCTTGTTGCATGGTTGAGACGCTTCAAAGCGCTTCGTAAAGTGTATTAACTGTATATTTTGTAAGCAAAGCGTAGCTTTCATCTTGCTTAACGTTAAGCAATACATTTTGAGTTCTGTTCTCCTGTTCTAAGCCAAAATAGTTGGTTTAAATTGTTAATAATAATAATTATTATTTTGTGGAGTCCTGTAGCTCAGTGGTTAGAGCACTCGCCTTGTAAGCGAGAGACCTGAGTTCAATTCCAGGCAGAGGGCGAAACCTTGGGCAAGTTTCCTTACTCCACACAGAGCCTAATAATAATCCCTCCAAAAACCAAAAACAATGATAAATTGGTAATTTTCAATCTACGACTGTTTGTGGGACATTGCTGTGCGCAATTGGCTGCTGCGTTCGCCCACAAATATACAGTCAATTCACTTTACAGTGTGTTCTGTGAAGCGCTTTGGGACGTCCTCCCGACGTGAAAAGCGCTATATCAAATGCAAGGATTATTATTATTATTAATTCTTGGATTTTGATATCGGGCTTATCACGTCTTCGAGACGTCTCAAAGCGCTTCATAGAATACACTGTCAAGTGGATTGACTGTATGTTTTTGTGGGTGATATAGAATTTTGAAGACTTAAATCACAGCTTTTTTTCTCTCCCTCTCATACCCCCCCATATAAATAATCTTGTTATTCAGCTTTGTAAGTCTCTCACACACTTGGCTTTCACTCCTGCTTGCCGATTTGCTATTCTCTAGAACTCTCTTGTAGAATATCCTCTCTTTTTTTAAAGCAAAGTGGAGTTGACAATACAGCTTTATATTCTGAATGTGGCCCGACCAGTAAACTGTGCAAGGAATCCGTTTTTTTTTTTTTGGAGTAGTTCGTCAGATGTCCTCAAGACGTAACCTAGTGTTCAGTGAGTGGGGCAGATGTGAAGTCGAGTTGGTTAGCAAATATTCGAAGCGAGTGAGTGTTTGTGTTGCTGGATTGTTGGGAGGGAAACCTCAGTTATTGTTAGCTTGGCATTTGCCAGAACATGTACTCGTGCTTTTTCTTTCTCTACCCCTGCCCCCACCGCTCGCGCCCACACACCCCCCCCACCACCACCAAAAAAAAATCTGTGTGACGTTGAATGTTTCACTGTGATGGGCTTGGGTCTACATGCAGAGCGTGGCGTCTGATATGCGACCGTTGAGTTTGCTGTGAATTATTGGCCGTTTGAAACTACTTCTGTGCTCTCTCGCTTCTCTCTCCCTCTCCTCTCTCTCTCTCTCTCCTCTCTCAATGTTTGCAGTCAATAGAATTCCTGAGCCAAGAACACTGATGTTTGGCAAACAGCATTTCCCCACTGTAGCAAAGGAAGCCGCCACTGTCTGAGACGGTTCCACAGGAAGCTGAGGTGTATAACACCTCCCTGACATTTCCGCTGTGTGAACTTTTTGGACGGGGTGTTGCTCTTTGGCTCGGAGCTTTGGTGTCGAGCGCTTTTGAGATGTGCTGAGACGCTAGCCACGTTTAAATGGTATCGTTACCGCAGCTCTCGTGTTTTGTCTATTGCTTGCTGAACTCTGGCTTGAAACTTTTTATAAAGTTGGTAGCATGTTTGCCCCTGAGATCGGAGGTTGTGGCTTCATGTCCCACATTGACTGGAGCTCACAATCCAATCGAGCATTGGTCAAATATATCCCTCCTTTCTGTGGCTATTGTGAAATTGTGCCCTTCTGTTGCGTGGTTAGGGTTAGGCTGACATAATGAACAAGACGCCTGGAAACCCAAACCTCTAATTTGTCTGGACTCAAATCGTACCATGTTTGAAATGGCCTCTTATCTAGTCTACAATTTCCTCGGTCGTGTTACTAGGAAGAACAACAACAACAACAAGATTCCATTTATAGAGCGCCTTTCACGTCGGGAGGACGTCCCAAGGCCCTGGCCATGACCTATGACAGAATGGCGTAACAGGCTCGAGGGGCTGAATGGCCTCCTCCTGTTGCTATGAGTCGCAGCAAAGGGGGTTATTGGTTCACGACATTGTCCCGAAGCACAAGATGAAGTCATTTGTGCTGAGCAACTATTTTTTAACCGGGGGGAGGGGGAGGGGAGAGAAGAAAGAGGGAGGAGTAATTATGGGTCCACAAGACTGCTCCAGCTATGAGTATCTGTGTACAGTCTCCGACTGTCTGACTCTGTGGTTTGTTGAGAAAATTGCGTGGAGTTGGTGATGGCTGTCTAATCCAGCATTTGTTGTCTGGAACCACTTCTGATCATTGATGGCCCTGATCACTGTATTCATGGGATGGCCAGTGATGGAATGTTAGTGCTGTGTAAGAGGTTTGAAAACCCTTGAATCCGTTTTATCTTGGTGCTTCCAAAGCATTAACCTCCGCCATCTTCCCTCGTCAGCATCCAGCTGTCCTTTGAATAAAAATCCATTGTTTTGCCCTTGTACCACGTTACTGGTACTAAACAGGTCCACACCTTCCTAGTAACTGGTTCGAAGCCAGGGTGGGGACCTGCTGCAGCTGTTAATTGCCTTCTGTGCAAAGAGATTCTTGGATATGCCCTCCAGTCCCAGCGCTCAGTGTGAGTTGGGAACAATTGTTCGTGCTTTACACGCTCCATTGCGTATGAGGAGATGAGCATGTTCGTAGAAGGTGCATTTCCTTTTTCCTCCCTTTATCTCATCCTCTTTTTCTCACCCCACCCCACATGGTAAAGGCAATCATTTGGCCTCTACTTGAGAGCTGTCTTTGTGGGAAATTGTGAGAGTAAAGTCTCCGTTCGATTATTCTGTGGTGGAGGCGCATTGGGGCGTTTGCCATGCGAGCAAATTGAAGTTTGGAATTAATACCCTCGCCAAAAGGCTGATGTAAGAGTCTCCTCTCGCCCCTGTCAGTCTTCTTTCTTGTCTTGCCTGTTTTTTTTTTTCTTGGTGTAACAAAATAATGCGTTTAAAATGTTCAGTGAATAAACTTCCTTCTAAAGAATACTTGTTAAGTGAGCCCTGCAGGAGTACCTGTCCCTGTCTGATTTCCTGGTGGCTTTAAGTTCTCAATGTTACTAAAATCTGATTCAATCAAATGTACGTCTGACAATCCGTCACAGTTTTGGCTCGTATGGCTAATGTGAATGAAATACAGTCTTTGTCTGATATTTCTTAGGGCGGTGGAACAAGTTATATAAAGCTTCTCCTGTCAAGAAAGGTGCTGTATCGATGTAAATGTTGTTATCTTCGAAGATCCTCGTCCCACCTATCTACCTACCTACCACAAGCGGGAAAATTTCAAACCCACTTGGAGGGGTTTTGAGTAGCGCTTGTTAACAGGAAATTCCAGAACGCAAGAACCGCTTTTAACGTGAATGCCAAATGGCAATGCATTTGAGCATCCTTGTGTATTGGACTAGCGATCGCTTTTTATTGCATTGCAAGCCAATGTCGCTATGGTTTTGATTGTGTTCCTGTTTGCAATCTCTTTGCTTGGACACCATGCATGTTCATTTCTACAACACTGTCGTTTCTATCTATTTATTTATTTATTCATTTATTTTTTTTTCCAGATCATTTGAAACCATGCTCCGGGACAGCTGAGATTTTTTTTTCGTCATTGGAAATTGCGATGACCTGAGGTACTGTGGGATGTTTTAATTTTCTGGGGTCTAAATATTCTCGGATGAATTATATCGCTGGGGATGGAACAAAATCTTTTTTTTAAAAAAAAAGTGCATTCTTGATCTCCGTAACTTTGCACCTGGAAAATGAAAGATTACCTGAGAAGAATTGGATGTTCCTCTTTGGCAAACCAACTTTATTCACTTAACATCTTTTGCAAATTCTGCACCTCATTTTTGAGGTCTATTGTGCACTGTCTTTTGGGAATTAATTATTAACCAGTGAAAAGGATATGTAGAATCATTAATATGTAAGCGGTGTTAAATGTCTCAACATGCCACCTTCATTGCATTTGGGAATGGCATCTATTTACCTATAACAAACCCTTCTATCTGATGGGTTGGTGTTGTGTACTGCGTATAAATAGATTACGCATCTGACACATTCACATTGAATGATTACTGCTGTTGATTTTGGCGTAGTTCAGGGTGCTAATTGGATTAATGCGTTCCTTTTAAACCCAAATTTTAACTGCAATGACTTGCACAAAACGTTTAACATTTTGGAGGTTGCCAAATGATGTGATTTCTTTCTTTCCTCCCCCCCCCCCCCCCACGCCTTAGCTCTAACACGGTCTCAGGCCTAACTGTCATTACTGTAAAAATTACTATAATAATTCTTGCATTTGCTACAGCACCTTATCATGCATTTGAGACGTCTCAAAGAGCTTCACCGAATATACTGTAAAGTGAATTGACTGTGTATTTTGCGGCAAAATGCGACAGCCAATTGCGAACATTAGCGTCCCACAAACAGTCGTGGATTGAGTGACCCAATTATTGCAATCAAGAAACCTTTATTGTTGGCTAACCGACGTGGGGCTTCAACCCCAACCTTCTCTGCTGGAGTTCTGCTAACTTGATACCAAATGTCGCTGGTAGTGAACGAAGATGAAACTGGGGAACCTCAGAATTATTGCTGACTTATTTTAAAACTCTGGCTGAACCAGCTCCACCAGAGAGGGGAGGAGTGGAGGAAACTGAAGCGAAGGATTTAAAGTAAGCTCGCTGAAGTATGCAATTGCATTCTTTTTGTTTTGGGAGGAACTACAGCAGTTTAACCGCAAACACTGAGATATGACAGACATTCAGGCAACACTGAGAGTTGAGATGACTAATGCCGGGAGAGTCCCCTAAATACTGACCTGAGCATGTGTTTGTTATCTGGTGTAGCCCATTTGGGTGTCGTGCACCTCTCTCTGACTGAGGAATTTGCGGTTGGAATGCAGTACGGAGGATGGTGGCAAAAGCTGCTTATTTTTATTAAAATCAAGTAATGTTCTGAATTCTTTCAAGATTCTGAATGAACATTTGGGTCACCTCGATGTTCTCTTTGCCAAAGAAAATATTGGCAATAGGGAATTGGAGGATAGATATCTGAACAGGATTTTTTTTTTTGCAGGGCTCAGGGGTTAGAGTGGGGGAGTAGGACAAGTTGGTAGCTCTTCCAGAGAACTGGCACAGGCACGATGGGCCGAATGGCCTCCTCCTGTGCTGGAAGATTCTATGAACGGCAATAACATTGTGTAGCAACTCTGTACTTGTCCTTTTAGCAATATATTGTCAACGTACTTGATTCCGATTTAGTAACTTCGGTCACTTTTCCTCCATTTCTTTTCTGTGTGAAGACTTTAGTGTTGAGATTAGCTTGGAATTGGCAGCGGTGTTTAACAGAGGTGGGGGGGAGAATTTTTTTCAGTTCATTTTTGGAGGCTACCTTGGGAGAATGGGACTGGTTGGTGGTGGGGGAGTGGGGGGTGGATGTTAGTAATTGGATGGATTGGATTGCCTCCTCTGCTGGTAGAATGGGAAGTATAAACGTGAGTGTTGGGCACAGTGAAGATAAACTTCCTTAAATTGAGGGAAGTGACCAGCAGAGAACTTGTGGGCAGAAAGTGAAGCGAGTGGTTTATTGAAAAAAATGGCTGCGTTGCAATATGAAAAATTAATAATAATCCTTGCATTTGATATCGGGCTTTTGACGTCTTCTCGATGTCTCTAAGCGCTTCAGAGAATAGACTGTAAAGTGAATTGACTGTATATTTGTGGGCGAAATAGCTGGAATTCAACTCTTGTTGCCCATCTGGATACTGACCAGATCTGACCCTCTGGTTATTTTAGGAAATTGATGATTTTCCTAAGATTATCCCACTTATACTCTAGCTGGTGTGGAGTCAATGCACCCCCCCACCCCCACAGTTAAACTTGGCCCAACTTCTAGCTCCTGCTTGACTCAGATTACAGAAGACTTGGAAGTGAAATAGTCCGACCTTCTCCAGACCGGAGACGACAGATGAGGGAAGAGGCACCTTCATTACGGTGCCTCTTCCCTCATCTGTCGTCTCCGGTGTGGAATGCATTAAACTGAGTTGTTCCCCCCCGCCTCCCATACCAACCTGCAGTGTATGAAATTCCTGGCTCCTTTGCTTTAATCCAGATCAGGTTTTTTTTTCTTGTTCTCCCGCACAACCTCGGAAGGTAGTTGTTCTTGTGCAGCTAATCTAATTGATGCTCGGCAGATGGAGTCTTGATGTTGTTGCTTTCGCCTTGAATTTGGTTAGTCCAGGAAAAGCAATTGGGCCAAACAACAATGACTTGCATTTATATAGCGCCCTTCAAATGGGATAGGGTCCCAGAGTGCCAAAGTCGAGGGGGGAAAAGGACTCGTTTAAAAATGAGCAATGCTAAGTATCAAAGGTTCCCTTTTTATAACAGCCTCGTGAAGGGCAGCACCTCTGATAAGCACGTGCTACATCAGAGAGTGGAATTGAAGTAATAAGTCCGTTCCAACATAGGGCTTAATCCCACAACCCTTTGACCCAGAGCCATGAATGCTTTCAACTTGACCAAGCTGACACCAGAGGTTTTTTTTTCAAACGGGTTGTGTAGTTTTAGGCTATTTGTGGGATGTTGCTATGCAACAAATTTAACTACACATTAATAATAATCCTTGCATTGGATATAGGACCTTAATCATGTCTTCGAAACGTCTCAAAGCGCTTCATACAATGTTATTGTAAAGGGAATCGACGAAATATTTTGTGGGCGAAACATTCCCCCACAAATACATAACCACTGCACTTATATCCTTGGAAGAGCTTTCATACGTGTATCAGTGTCTGTTCCCATGCATTTTTTTTATTTAAAAAAAACAACTGTCCTTTAAACCCTGTTCTGTGTGCTGCGCATTGAACAATGTTGGATTAAAGACAAGTGGCTCGCGATTTGGTCATTTTCTTTTAAGACTCCAGTACATTTTTTTTTACCCCCAAAAACTTTTTAAAAGTATGTGTTCACAAAAAACTTGGTCCCAAGAGGAGAGATTGTATTTATTCAGCTGCACTAGTTGTAAGCTCTTGGATTCCCTCCGCATGTTGTGATGCAAATTAAAAGTGGAGAATATCTGTGAAGGAATTGGCGTCGAGGAGACTTGTTTTTGAGTGGGGGGGGGGGGGAGGAGGGAGAGCAGGGCACATGATGGTTTAAAAACTTGGGACAGATGGCGAGGAATTTTTTAGGAATAGAGTAGGATTTCTATCTTGCCCCATTTGTTTAAAAAAAAATTAAAAAAAAACCTTGTGATGACAACTTGATGCTTCTCAGCTGTAGAGTATCAGTCAGAGCCCTCATCTCGCAAGCGAAGGGACCTGGGTTCAATTAGTGGGCAGGGTGAGACCTTAGGCAAGTTTCCTTACTCCACACGCCTCTGTTTGCCTAGCCGTAAGTCGGAGCCTGGTTGTTAGTCCATTAGCGGATGGCTTTTCCGTGGGGTAATAATCCCTTCAATAATAATAATAAACCATAGCAATAGCTGAATCCACGGCTGTTTGTGGGGACGCTGCTGTGCGCAATTGGCTGCCGCGTTTTGCCCACAAAACACACAGTCACACTTCACTTTACGGTATACTCTGTGCAATTATTTCTGGTATGGGTTTGGGAAACCAGTCAGAACTGTTGCTGATGGTGATTTTTTTTGTTGTTGTTTCTTTTATGCTTTTTAGATGATTCAGATGAGTGTCCATCTTCAACTCGTGGGTTGGCAAACCTGAACAGTCACCTTTGGGGGGGGGGGGGGAGGGAGGTGGAAACGTCGATTGGTTCGGAAGACGAGAGTTTGTGGGAAGAGGAGAAGGTCGTGCTTTTTTCTTCTTATTTGTCTCTGATTTTAACCATGGGACAGAGAGTTACTGTTGGGCTAAAGACAGTTGACGTGAGAGATCCTTCTTACAGACCTCTGAGGCACGAACAGCAGGGGCTTGACTACTGCAAGCCCGCCCGACTGGACATGTTACTGGACATGCCTTCGGTCACTTGCTCTGTCCAGCAGCTACACTCGTGGAACAACGACGACCGATCGCTCAACGTCTTTGTCAAAGAGGATGACAGACTGATATTTCACAGGCACCCAGTGGCACAGAGCACAGACGGGATCCGGGGTAAAGTGGGCTACACTAGAGGACTGCACGTGTGGGAGATCACCTGGGCGATGAGGCAGCGCGGCACACACGCCGTGGTCGGAGTGGCCACGATAGACTCCCCTTTGCATTCCGTAGGGTACACGGCACTTGTCGGGAGCAACTGTGAGTCCTGGGGCTGGGACCTCGGGCGTAACAAACTCTACCACGATGGGAAGAACCAGCCAAGCCAGACCTACCCGGCTTTTCTCGAGCCTCACGAAACTTTTATAGTACCCGATGGCTTCCTTGTGGTGTTGGACATGGATGAAGGGACCCTGAGCTACATCGTGGACGGGCATTACTTGGGAGTTGCGTTTCGGGGACTTAAAGGGAAAAAACTTTATCCCGTGGTCAGTGCTGTTTGGGGGCACTGTGAAATCCGAATGTGCTACATTAATGGACTTGACCGTAAGTGCCCCTTTTACATTTGATCTGAACTGGAATATCGTAGACCTTGGAAAAGTAGAGGAAATCAGCAGGTTACTTGGACATAGCTACCATGTAGAGACATAAAAATAATAATAATAATCCTTTCGTTTGACACAGCGCCTTATCGACTCAAAGCGCTTCGCAGGACACATGACTATATTTTGTGGGCCAAATCCAGTCGTTTTTTCAAACGGTAATTGTTCCACTCGCTCGAGGTTACGTTTCGCACTTGCTGAAATTACGGCATTTAAAGGAACGTCCGAAGGGGGAAGGGGGGGGTCAAAAACTTGTGTGAACAGTACCTCTTCTAGATGATGGGGCAAGGGGGAGGGGGAGGAGATGAAAATACTGCATTGCCCTCTTGTGGCTGTGTCATTTGGGAGAGATATTGAGCTGGTGTCCCAGTGGACAATTGGCTTCATGGCTGTTTTGTGAGACTGACTGCAGAGTTTGCCAACAAAATAGTCATTACACTTTACAGCAACGAACAGCGAAGAGCGATGGTGAGACCTTAGCTCCATTATCAAATGCAACAATTATTTAGAATCTATGTGAGGCCCAGTTGCGAGTTTTGTTTATTTCAGGGACCAAGGAAACTAGGAGAGGGTTAAAGTAAATCATTTCTGCAATTGGTGCAATATTTGGAGCAACGGTTTGAAACGCAGTGCCTTCGTGTCAAGTAAAACAGCAATTCTTTAGTTGGGCGGTGTTCTTTTTTTCAGGGAACGAGGGCAATTGCCCTAAATGTGCGAGCAAATGCTCTCTCATTAGAACTCCTTTTCCAAGGAAACTCGTTGAAGTGGCCCGCTCCCCCCTCTCCGACCCCGTTTCTTCTGCTCCCCCCCCTCCTTTAAAAGCTACTTGTTAAATCTTGCGCATAGAACCTTTTCTACACAGGATTTTAAACCCTCACTGAAATGGATGGTCAGGACCTCGGCTTTAATGCCCATCCCACGAGAACCCTCTGCATTGCATCGCCTCGTCTGTGGGCTTGATGTGCACCTTGAACCTACAAGACCGTGACTCAGTCATTAGACTACTGGCCTCTGAACCAGGCTTAGACAGTGGTGGATAGATATCCAAATGGGAGGAAACTAAATGCATACAATAATAATAATTAATTATAATAATATATAATAATGCTTGCATTTGGTATAGCGCCTTATCAACATGGTTGAGACGTCTCGAAGCACTTCACAGAATTTACTGTAAAGTGAATAGACTGTTTTACGGGTGAAGGACAGCACCAATAATTAGTCAGTGTCCCATAAGCAATCGTGGATTGAGTGACTAAATTATTTATGGATATAAACCCGAGCACTGGTGTATTTTGCCCACGCACGTTACAATTGGCGCTAAATCCAATGCAGCGCTCTTAAGACTTGCGCTCAAAATGAATAACTCCAACACATACATTTTTTTTTGTGTAAGACTTTTGAATACAAAGATTTTATTGCAAACTGGAGCTGAATTGTAGATGACTTCTGCCTTGCTTTACCCTCCGACCCCAAGCAAACGCCCATCTGCTCTCTCATTCCTGCTGTCTGGATTTCAATGACTCATTTAGAGATTGCAAAGCGAAACAAAACTTGCCACAGGCTGTAATGGGCACAGATGCCCACCCCCACCTCTCTTCACCACCTCCCCCTCTTCACCCACCCACCACACACACACAACTTAGATTTTGTGGTTGTGGATACACGTCTCCCAGCCAGTCGGCTTTATTTCCTTGCGCCTCTGACTCGTTCCCTTTCAAGTGGTTTCCACGAGACTCTCCTTGTGTGGCTGCTCGAGTCGAGTCAAACTTGGACAACTTTTTTTGTTGTTGTCGAGCACTTTAACTTCGACTGCGTCAAGAGGAGTAACGTGAGGTGTTGGGGGTCGTGTGGGGATGAGTTGTTAAGAGCGGCAGCTGCTGATTTTGTTGATGCACTCTTCGCTCGTTGATCAAACTCTCCACAGTTACCCTGAGGGCTTTGTGCTCTGAGCATTACCTAACTTCCTTGCCGCCAGTTGTGCTGTGTACACCTGCGAGCAAAGTAGATCTCTTTGGTATTGCGGCTTTCCTGTCAGGAAGCCTTGAAGCGCTTCAGCGGCTACTGTGTTTTTTGTAGGTGAACACAGCAGCGAGTTTGCATTCAGCAACGTCCCCCAAATGACCTTATCCTACGAAGTCTGCTTTGAATGGAGGGTTTAGTTCAAACGAAAGGGCCAGTTTAAGCTACATTTCTGTTTTTATGATGGTAAAGTTCATCTTTTTATACATTCCTCACTTTCTTTCCCTTTTTTTTCTCTTACCGTTTCTGCGCATGTGTCTCTCTCTCTCTCTATTTCTTTCCCTCTATCTCTCTCTCTCTCTCTCGAGCAGCATTCCTAATCAAAAAGCATGTCAGTAACGGCTTGAAGAGTTTGGACAACTGCTGTTTAGTTTGTCTGCTGTCAAATGCCTGTTCAGATAGATCACTTGCGGGCAATAGATGGCTGAGTTAGAAACGGAAGAGTTGAGGGTGGATGGGGGGAGGGCAGAGAATGCTCACTCCTTCCTGATGATCTTGTGAACTCTGATCGGGAGGGAGGGGAATGAGAGGAGAGAGAGAGAGAGTGGGGAAGTGGGAGAGGGGGGTGTGGGGGAGTGCGTTTCAGCTCATTTGCTTGCTGTTGTAATTCTATGCCGACTGGTGGCATTAGATTAGATCGGAGATGTTGTTGTGCAAAGTTTATTTACAGAACCATGTATGTCTTGATGAATCCACGGTCTAGACACTAGTCGACTAATGCACGAACCATTCCGGACTGCAGCGTAGTGTGTGACTGTGTCTGTGGGCGGGTTGGCAGATGTAGTTTGTATAATCCTGCCATTATTTCAAGCTTTTCAAAGAAGTTTGCTTTCCTGGAATTGTCCCTGTGTAGGTGGTTCTGAATGTGAGGTCTGAGTTGCTGTTTCGAAAGGAATACCCGAAGAAAGGCCTTCCCCTTGTGACTTGTGACTTCTTTATCTTGGGAAGGTGACCAAGTCTGATCTCGCGTTTGTATCAAAAGAGCTTTGCTTCTTTTGCAAGTCTCGCCCACAGAGAGATATACAGTCAGTTGTCGTTGTACAGTCGTAAATATCCTGTGAAGCGCTGTGAGAAGTCTCGAAGACATCATAAGGCGCTGTATCAAATGCAAGGATTATTATTATTATTATTATTTATCTCTCCGGTGGCCTAATTACATCGAAATCTCAAAGCACCGTTACAGAAGTTGGTCCAATCTAATCCCTGTGTATTGGTAACAAGAGTAATCCTTGCATTTGACACAGCGCCTCATCGCGAAGTTGAGCCCCCTCACAGCGCGTGACCGGCTAGAGGGTGAAATTAATTGACTGTATGTTTTGCGGGCGAAACACGGCGGCCAGTTGCGCACAGCGGCGTCCCCGCACACAGCCGTGGAGTCCGTTGCTGTACCTCGGTAAATCGGTAGTAAGAAATGCTCCGGGTTGAGCAGTGTAACTGCTGCCTTCCAGAGTGAGGCTTGGGAACACATTCCTCTCAGGAAAGAGTTTCCAATCATTGCACACTGCACCGAAGCATAAATTTTGCGATTCAGTTCCTAAATAAGCAACAATGATACAACTGCATTTTTCCGGACGTCATTAGCCCACATTCTCAGACTCCAGCTCATGGCACATTAACCGTTTTGTGAAAGTGGGGGAAATTATTGGAAGTGTTTGTTCTCCGAAGAAGTTAAAGAGTTCTGTGCGTTCACGCGTCTCGGGTTAAGCTCGACCACTTGTCGTCGCTTAAAATGCCAACCTGGTGTTGTGTGCAGTTGGCTCACTAGGTTGGCAGGAGTCTTGACCCCTGAGTCACAAGGTTGCGCCACATTCATTTCCAGAACCCAACCAATATTGAGCTGTACACAAAGGGCACGAGTGGCCGAGAGCTGAACCTGCTTTGCCGCCCTTTAATAAACGTGCAGGTTTTCCATGTTCTCTTGTCGGCAATTTTAGAACCTTTATTAATGGACACCTGTGGTCGTTGACCGACTCTTCAGTTATAAAACGTTGGCATTTTCTTTGTGTTGCAGAAATGCTTGTGTAATGCTGAAACTGTTTAATTTTATAACATTCCTTTCCTTTTTTTTTATTCATTCAGCTGAACCATTGCCTTTAATGGATCTCTGTCGTCGTTCAGTTCGGGTGGCTTTAGGCAAGGATCGCTTGAATGAAATCCAGTCACTACCACTACCGGGTTCTCTGAAGAATTACCTTCTATACCAGTGACTGCTGCATAAACTAATAGACTGAAGCCCTGATGCACCCATAGAACTGAGAAGGTTATTCAATCTGCTTCTCCATCTGCCTGATGTGCGATGGACAATTGTTTCGAGCTCTGATCTTTCTTTCTCCACACTCTCACGCTCGCTCTTGCTCTCTCCCTCTCTCCGAAGCAGGGGTTTGCTCCCCTGAACTTCACGTTCTGGTTGTGTGAGTGATACAGACAAAGATGTTATGAAGGGTTTAGCTTGCTGGGAAAGTGAGGCAGTTCTATATCGACTACCAGTGATTTCACTCAAAGCAGAAAGTGGGTTGATTTAATCCACGGGAGGGTTTCCAGGGAACTGCTCCACTCATGGGTTTGGCAGGAGTGGAGTTGTTTTTTTTTTAACTTGAGTGACAGCCTTTCTTTCCAACCTATAAATCTGTAAAGAGGAGGGAATTCTGACATTGCTACTCAATGCGGAATTGCTTGAGGGGTATCCATTGAACTTTCAAGTGGAATCTGTGGCTAAGTGTTGCGGAAACAATTCAGATTCAGGAGGGTAAATGAACCGATTCTTTTAAAATTAATATTTAAATAAAGTAAATATCTGGAAAACAACGATGAGTTTTAAGGTTTTAAGATCCCATGAGAGTTTCTGAATTGGTGCCTCATATTTACTGTTGACTTTTCTCTCTGCAAAGCTCTTGACTTGTCGTTGGAAGCTCTCATCCAAAAAAAAAAAGAGATCTTAACAGGTAAGCGAGATGTCAAACCTCATGTCGAAGCACCTGTTCAGATCAGAATCATATTTTTTCATTGTATGGGGCCAGAACCCAATACCATTAACCCCTTTGTCACCAATGGAATCCATGAGGGTGTTGCTATGGGCCAGTTAGGTTTTGCTGTTTGAAAGGAACGCTGACTCTTAACCAAAACACTTGATCAAACCTGTATTAGCTGGGGCTGGTGGGCATCGCAACTCAACTTAATTTCGCAAGGGAACACGTCTGTGTAAGCAACTGCAACTGAGGGAAGAAATTGTATCCCGATTTATACCTCTCGTGGTGCAGAAACGATTGTGTTTTTTTTTTAAAATGTGCAATATATGGAAAAATTGTTTTTTTTAAAAAAAGTTATCTCGAAATAACAGAAAAAAATTAAAAGCTGTTGTAAATTGACTTTGTTTACTTTGTACAGAGAGGAGGTGGGGGAAGGGGGGGTGGTGGGGCGGGAGGGAGTGGTTCGTGGGACCATTGACAATTGTGGTGGTTGTTCTGCCGATTGTAGTAAACCTTTCAGACGCTATGCCATCTCTGTGCTGTGTTTTATATTGACTTTCCTCTTTCCCTCCCACCCCACCGCCAACCGCAGATGTGCAGAATTTGCTGAGTTGCGTATCTTTTCATCCGCACGTATTTCCCCCCCGCAAACATGAGTCTCTCCCTCCCTCTCTCTCCTCCTTGAAGGCACTACTGACGTATACGTTTGTACAATTTTTTTTATCCATGTCTTTTTTTTTAAAAACAGGAAGATATTGGCCTGGATTTGAAATGAATGGAGTGCAGCCAGTGTATATAAGATTATTTGTATAATGAAAGCTGCTGTGGAGTGCCTTTATTTGTATATGTGGGTGAGCCTTTAAGGCCATTTTTGTGTGTGTGTGGGTTATGTGTTTTTTTTTGTGACGTGTTAGGGGAAAGTGGGGGGAAATGGTGAGGATGCGGTGTGTGGGTATGATGTCCGATGGTCAAAGGTAATTTTTTTTTCGAAGTGTTGCTGATGACGTTTGCCAGGTGATGTGCATTGGCTTGCGGATGAATCTGGTTTTCCGAAGCTTTCAATGGAGCGACACTTCCCTAGCGAGTGGCTGAAGGTGGAAAGTGTTGGGGATATTTACTCTCTTAATAGCCGGTGCGTAATCCCATCCGATTTAAGAATTCCAACACGCCCCAGTGCTGGTTCCACAAGCTGTAATAACCTGGGTGCTTTAGAGCCCTACAATAGGAATCATTTTCACGTGTTTTAGAAACAAAATGAGTGGGGTTGGGGGCTGGGGGTGAAGGTCGGAAAATCCTTCTAGTCTTTGCCTAAAGAGCAATGACTGGAAGTGTAAGGTTGTGCCGAAAAAAATTTGAGTTTGGAAGCTGGCTGTAACATCTACAGGAAACCAGTGTCTAATTTAAGACGGAGATGAATTGTATCAGAACTTGATTTTTTTTTTAAGATGGACTGAGGCTGAGAGGAAACTTTTTTTTAATTATAAAAAAACCCCCCTTTTTTTTTCCCCTTCGAGTCGTTCAGTTTTGAAGATTGCGTTGCCTGGATTTTCAGGGGCAGCCCCTGTGGGCACTTGTAGCCTCTATTCCGACCATCACATCGTCAGTTTCTTGAGGATACAAAAGGAGAAGCTGTTGTTTGGAGGATTTTTTTTTAGGCTTTTCTTTCTCATTCTCGCTTGGGTTTGGTTCAGGGTGGGGGGGGGGGGGGGGGGGGGGTAGGGTTCTTGTGCTTCACCCTATTGCGACAGACAATAGACAAGTGAACAAACTATTTGCTGAGAACGTCAGTCAACCCAACCCATTTCTCTCACAACATCCCTTTCCAGGCAACACTTCTATTTTAAGATAATGTTAAGCACTCAAGACCCAACCTTGTGTGGAGAGGGCTATACTAAGTTGTTTTTCGTCCTCTTTCCCCCCACCCCCAACCCCATCGTCTAGACACTAAAGTCAATTACACCACCTCTACCCCACGCACGTACGCACACAGCATGGGCGAGCACACAAACCTGTGCCTTGGTCTATTACGTACAGTACTACATCTTTATTTGCTAGGTTATCAGGAAAGCTCATCTGTGTGGGTTTGCTCTGACATTGGGAGGGTGATGAGCCATCTCTTATCCTTTTATTTTGTTTTTAAAAAAATTGTCTAGTTTATTTCAGATTTAGAGAAAATTGTCGTTCGCTAATCCAACTCGATTAAGATGTCGTCAGGTATAATTTGAGGTATCGTTGATCTGGATTCCTTAGTAAGGATTAAGGAACCCCAAGTGTTAGCCTGAGGGGCAATTGCCCTCTGATACAATCTTGCTGTGAGAGGGGGAGTTTCCCCACAGGTCAATGGGAAGTCTCAAACATCTCAGATTGTAACCCCCCCAACCCTTACCTCCCCATCCCACAGCTTTATAAAACGTTGCACTTTTGGAGCTAGACATTTTAGCGAGTAGACTGTCGTTCTGCCGGAATTTCTTCTGTTGGTTTAAAAACCTCGGACAGGTCCGGTAATTCCAGAACCGACTAGATAAAGTACCTCGACTCCAGGAGAAAGTTTTATGACCCCCCCAAAAAAGAGCATTCATTCTCGACATTTGGATGCTTTTCTCTTAATTGCACCTTAAAAGCCCCCAAATGTTTGCTTGAAAGGAAGAGAAAATTGGACAAAGTCTCTTGAGAACACCCTGGAAGTGCTGCTAATTAATTATCCTGATGGCTAATAGGAGACTAATTTAAACCCTTGCTAAATAACATCTATTCCTGGAAGGAGGGGAGGGTGTGCTTGAAATCGATCCTGACTCGTGAATTATTTATTTATTATGGATTACGTTCTACACTTAGTCTTTGTGTCCCTGATCTTGATTTTAAGAATATCGCAGGCTTTTTTTTTGTGATCACAAAGAGAGATGGTTTTCTCTTCAGCCACTCCGCACTGGCAGAACTGTCCTCCATTGAAAGGAAAACTTGCTTCAACTGATCCTCGTGACCTTAAAGAACTCTTATTTAACCTTTCCTCGAATGTTTGTCACTGCAAATCCTATACAATTTTTTTAAAAAAAAAACCTTTATATTCTGTGCTGTAAATACTATTCACAATTACCTAATAAAGTTTATTAAGAATGGAACATTTTGTTCAGTGTGAATGTGTCGTACGATGCAATGCGCTTTTACATTTGTACAAAACCTTTCACGTCGGGATTCCCAAAGTGACTGGAGCTGAGGGGGTAAAAAGGGGAAAGAGACGTCAAAGATGAATAGTCTTGAGGTATACATTGAAAAGAGGGAGGAAGGGAGTTTCCCTGTGTCCTCGCCAATAATTTTCCTCAAATAAAACTGGTCGTCCACTTCGGCTGTTTCTGAGACATGGCTTTGTTCAAATTGGCTGTTGCATTCACCTTCAAACATCGTCGCTACTTTTTACAGTAAAAAAAACATCTTATGAAGCAGTTCGAGAAGTCCTTCCCGATGTGAAAGGCGATGTGCTAATGCAAGGGCTGTTAGCTTTCTTAAGGGGAAGTGAGTCACTGACTGGGGGAAACCCTTTTGTCTTATTGTTTATTTTTATTATTATTTTATTCTGTCAAGTTAGATTGAGGACCCACAAGTTGGCACTGTGGACTTCCAGGTTTATTTTGCTTTTTTAAATGCTGTAAAATCTACCCATTGTCCTGTTGCATTTCCTCTCTCCCAGTACTGATTGCTAAATTTACCGCATTGTTTAATGATACGTAGTAGTTGTCGAGAAACAAGTGTGACTAGCTAGCCGAAGGCTATTTCCTTCGGAATGTCTGTTATGAGGGCTGAAAACTGGCTCAGAGCAACAACCAAAATAAAATAGTATTTTATTTTAAATAGTCCAGACACCCAAACAGCATTGTGTTCCAGCTACGCCCAACGAAACCAATGACCTCTACTCTTCGGCCTGGTTTTCCGTGAGGGCAATGCAACAACGAAATACACCCACTGCTTCTCAGCATTTTAATTAGTAACTGCCGGCCAAGCTGATTCATGACGCAAGCGGCCATGATTATCCCAGGGCAAACCTTGTGTTTTCTAGTCTAGTTGCAGCTATTTTTATCAACCCTCTTTTGTACATCAGCACTTAACGCGTGGATTCCTGTAACCCATCGGTTAGAGCGCTCGCCTCGCAAGCGAGAGCACCCGGGCTCGATTCCCGAGCACCGCTAGGCAAGTTTCCCTTGCTCCACACGCCTCTGTTCACCTAGCGGTAAGTAGGTTGTTATTTGATTGGCGGATCGCTTTTCCGGAGGTAATGATCACTCTTTTTTTTAAAAAAAAATCCCCCCAAAATAATAATAATAATAATTTAGTCACTCAGTCCACGACTAACTGTTTGTGGGACCCTGCTGTGTTCAATTGCCTGCACACACAAAAAAAAATACAGTCAATTCACTTTACAGTATATTCTGTGAAGTGCTTTGAGACGTCTCGAAGATGTGATAAGGCGCTAATCAAATGCAAGGATTATTTAATAGAGTCACTTCTCTTGACAGTAAAATCCTTAATGCTTTGAGACATCCTCCCGATATGAAAGGCGCAAAGGATTATTTTTAAATCTTTCCCCAAACCCCTTCATCTTTTGCCTTTTCTCCCTGTATTTAAAAACCCTCTTTAAACCCATTGCTTTGACTGTACCTTTTGTCAATCTCCACTTTCTCTCACTGTTTTTGTCATACACTATGATCAGTGATGCACATCGTCTTTGAGTAGCTTTGAGATGTTATCCCATGTGAAAGACCTGTATAAATTGGGCTAGATTACATCAAACGGGGATTGTAATGAACTCAACTGACCTATTTAAAAGCAATTAAACGCAGGTCACAGCCTCATCTCTAAATCTAATAACTATTTAATCTCCTGAGGATGAGTTGTACAAAGGTTGCCCTTGCCTCCAAAGTTAAATCGACTGAACCTCCCGACTATCTAAACAACCTGCATCACCAATCGATTTGTCTCCCTTGACCTGTGATTTCCGTCTCCTTATTCCGCACCCCTCGGTTTACCGAGCAGCAAGTAGGAGCCCGGTTGTTCGTCGATTGACGGATCGCTTTTCTGGGGGGAAGAACCCCTTCAAAAATAAGTTTAAAATAATAATTTGGTCACTCGATCCACAACTGTTTGTGGGACGCCGGCGTGCGCAATTGGCTGCCGCGTTTCGCTCACGAAAATCCACAGCCAATTCACTTTACAATATATTCTGTGAAGCCCTTTGAGACGTCTCAACAACGTGATTACGGCGTTATATCAAATGCACGGATTATTATTATTGCCTAACTTTCTTTCATAGGATTTTTAAAAAGCCACCAAGTCCTTTAAGCACTTTGTATTTTA